GCACAACATCGTGGGCCGAAGGGCCTGTACTGTGCTGTACTGTTCTATGTTCTATGTTCTATGTTCTATGCTCTATGTTCACTGGAGTTTGTGTGTCTGTGAGGGTAGTGCTGGGGTAAAAGAGATGAATCTTTATTTATGATGTTTGTTATGATATTGTTCAAGTAGCTCTTGGATAGTGTCTTGTAGATTGTGTTTTTATTTTGTGTAACAAACTTTTATGTTATTTTATTAAAAGTATTTTGGCAGTCTCTTGTGAGTATATTCAATAATTGATCTCTACAGTAAAGGAAAAGAAAAGATTGAATACCGTTACTACTTAATCTTGCCCCCTTGACATGCATTTTGTTATCTCCCATATGTTGGAGAGAAACTATCATAGAAATCCCTACAATGTGGAAACAGACCATTCAGTCCATTAAATCCAAATCACCCCTCAGAAGAGCATCCCACCCTTACTCAACCCCCTACCCTATCCCTATAACCCTGCATTTCCCATGGTTAATTCACCTAACCTTCACATCCCTGGACCCTATAGGAAATTTAGAATGGCCAATCCTCCTAACCCTGCACACCTTTGGACTATGGGAAGAAAACCAGAGCACCCACACACAGGTATAATGTGCAAACTCCACACAGACAGTCACCCAAGGGTAGAATCGAACCCAGGTTCCTGATGCTTTGAGGCAACAGTGCTAACCACTGAGCCACCATGCTGCCCCTGGATGGTGATCATTCCCAACACAAAAGTCACAGCGTGTACCTGGCGGATCGAGCTCACTGATAGCTCCTCTGGGCTTCCATCCTGAACAGCAGTCATCAACATCTCCAAGCACACCCTCCAGGGGCAGCATCTGCCTACACCTCCCATTCATTGAAATTGGCATTGAACATGGGCCAGTCTCTCAGCTTCATCATGGCATATCTCTAACCAACTTACAATACAGTTCTACCCTTCAATGCTGCACTTTGGAGTGCATTGGCACCCTTCATTATAATACTGCCGCTAGGCCATTTTGCACATAGGGGCAGACACCCAACTGATGGATTCAACCAGGGCATCTCTCAGGGCTCCTCAGATATTCTCTTAGTGCTCAGTCACTTTATACCTGTCTGGATGCTCACAGCATTCCTGCCTTGCCTTAACATTCTGAGCTTTGTCCCCTCAGTCATTCTTTAAAAGCTCACAGTTCTTCTGTCTTACCTTGCTTTTTAGCACTGACACAAAGCCAAAGGGCTTGTCATGTTTGTGCGTTGTAAGAAGCGATCAGACAGGGGGTGGATCCATTGTTTTACAGCACTGTGCTACGTCAGTGTTATACCTGCACCGTGTGCCAACAGTTTATGTGGCAACACACATGCTTCCACCAAATGGCCATGTCTCAATGTCTCCTCAGTCAGGCCAAGGGAGACAACCTTCAGTTAGAGGGTACCAGCAAAGTAAGTCAAGGGTATTGTCCAGTATCAGTCCAGGGGCTTGAATATGGTCAGTGGGTAGCATCCAGAACCAGTACTTCTACAGTCTGGGGAATGGACCACAGACAGTCCTTCAAGTCCAGTTCAACCAGTCTGGGGATTCGTGGTCAGTCATTTGGGGAGCTACACAATTATTCATCTCTCATCATGTTCATTCATCATTTGGGGCTGCCTCTTAAAGTTGATCAAAGCAGTTGGAAACCAGAGTCCTGGTGGTCTGTTACAGAAAATCAAGGGCATTTTATCAGGGAACACTCCTGGGGTAGGGAAGTTGAGGGGATTGGAGGTTGTCACTGGGATGGAGAGGGAATAATAATTGTATGTGGGGGAGGGCAACTCAAAAATGTAAAGGGGTGAAAATGATAGATCATGGGAGGACAAAGGGTATTGCAGGACGGGGTCGTCAACAATGATCACTGTATGGGTCTCAATGAGGGGACAGTATGTTATTATGTTTGCCATGATTCCTCCATATGCCTGAGACTCAGTAGGTAAAGTGGGGAGCTGGACAGTTAAATAAAAGAGCTGGGAGGGAACATGGAAGTGTTGATGGAGTTGACATAGAGGGCAAGGAAGAAGAAATGTGATATTTGATTGGACCAACCAGAGTCACACAACCAGAGGTCGAGCCTGTGACTCACTCAGAATGGCTGCTGTTACCTTCCACCATTATCCAATCCATAAATGCACAATGGAAGTAAAAGTGGCTGCGACCAAACTTGGAGTGGGCAGAGGAAGCACTTCATTCCCTGAGGAAGGAGTTTCAACATCCGTGTGATGTGAGGCCCTACAAAGGGCAATGGCTTTAAACAGGCAGCCACATATTAAAGACATCTGTTACACAAAATGCTGTATGAGCACCTCATGCATTGACATTTACTAAAATTCCTGGCCCTGAGCACTCTTGACAACAACATTCAACATTCCAAATCAATCCCACTAATGGCTGTGAGGCACAAGTAATGCCTTGCAGCCTGAAAAGATTCACCTTAGTTAGCAGAGTGGCAAACGCTTTCCAAGATCCCACAAGTGCAGGAACTTCTCAATTCACACCATTGGACAATAAAACTTCCACACTGTTATTCCATGTGCAACAGAATTAGAATTTGCTTTATTGCCACATGTACTCAAGTACAGGAGTACAGTGAAAAGTTTACAATGTTGCCACACGTGGTGCCATCTCAGGTACAAAGTACATGAATGGTGCTGAACATTGAACAATCATTGGCAAACATCCTCACGTCTGATCTTATGATAGACAGAAGGTTATTGATGCAGCGGTTGAAGACGGTTGGGCCTAGGACACTACCCTGAGGAACTCCTGCAGAGATGTCCTGGACCTGAGATGACTGACTTTGAACAACCACAACCATTTTCCTATGTGCCAGGTCTGACTCCAACCACTGGAGAGTTTGCCCCCTGATACCCAATGATTCCAGTTTTGGTAGGGGTCCTTGATGCCACTGTGTCATATGAGGATTTGAAGTCAAGTCACAGTCTTTTGTCCATGTTTGAACCAAGGCTGTAATGAGGTCAGGAGCTGAGTGGCCCTGGTGGAACCCAAACTGGGTGTCACTGAGCAGGTTATCACTGAGCAGGTGCTGCTTGATAACTCAGCGGATTACAGCTTTCATCACTTTACTGGTGATCAAGAATAGACTGATAGTGCGGTAGCTGGCTGGGTTGGATTTGTTCTGCTTTTTGTGTACAGGACATAACTGGGCAGGTAGATGCGTGTGTTGCCTCAGCTAACTGAGACTTAGCTGGTTTATGGCAAAATTCAGCCCTCTGCAATTATTTACACATTATGAGGATATGATATACATTCTTAGGAGGACGTGGTCTTTGCTCTAACTCCTTCAAGATCCTTTGTTACTCTCACTACCAGTCATCATAACATCATAGTGGATGCTCCCAATTAGCATTCACCCTTTCAGACCCAGCTCTGACTAAATAAAAGAGAATCAGAGATAGTAGGAACTGCAGATGCCGGAGATCCGAGACAACAAGGTGCAGAGCTGGATGAACACGGCAG